TTTGCACAGATAATCAAGCAATTAGGAGCCGCTAATAGACCTATTCGCCACACGATTCAACAATCAGCTACCGACATTCGTGTCACCAGTCCCAGACCCCAAGCTTGGGCAACGGATTTCTAAGTCTATCATGGGAAGGCCTCACGCGCGCACGCGTTTCCGCCGCCAGCAATAATACCTCAAGTATTACAGAAAATCAGACAAACACAGAGCCTACAACTCACTTTGGTCGCGCCCTACTGGCCGGCCAGAACGTGGTTTCCCATACTAATTCAAGAAATCGGTCAACCAACACTGGAGCTACCCAAGCGCAAACCTGTTAATTCATCCTCACACCAAACAAGTGCACGGAAACCCAGAAGTATTCCAACTACACGTATGGACTGTATACAAATGTGTTTAAACAAGAGAGGATATTCTGCCAGGGCGGCAAAAGCAGTTACGCTTGCTTTACGTTACTCAACTCGTAACTTGTACGACGACAAGTGGCACAGTTTCGAAAATTATGCAACAAAGAAAGGGTTTACAGCAAGAGAGGCTTCACAACCTCAAGTGGCAGACTATTTGTGTTACCTACGCCAAAACAAACATTTAAAAGGTTCAACGATATCAACATATCTTGCCGCGCTTAGTTCTGTAATCACCATGAGAACGGGTGTCAAATTGACAAGATCTCCAGAGTTACTGGCCTTACTACGAGCTTTCCGATTGGAGGACCAAAAGCGGAAGTTCCACGCCCCAGCTTGGGATCTGAATGTAGTGTTACAACACCTCACGAGTGAGGTCTATGAACCTTTGGAATCGACAAACTTTGAATTTCTCTCACAGAAAACACTGTTTCTGCTATCGCTAGCCACAGCAGCAAGAATGTCTGAAATTCACGCTCTGGATTACGAGAGGATACAGTTTGATGACAATCATAACACAGCGCACCTCGGATTAAGATGGGATTTCATCGCAAAAAATCAACTGCCAGGTCAACCAGACAGATTATTCCACATCCCGGCGCTTATCCTCTATTCTCGGATCACAAGATACACTAGACCTATCACTGTGTCCGTAAGAGCTCAAAGTTTATTTTTACGACAATCCAAAACAAGGAGAAGATTTCTCAAACGTTTATTCATCCCTTATCGCCTACGAATCAAACAGAAGTGTCACGGACCACAATATCTATTTGGATAAGGACTGTCATTCTCCGTGCCTACAAGGCAGCAGGCTTGGACCCACCAACAGCATCAAATCCACATGAGATCAGGGCACTGGCCTCTACCCTCGCCCTACACGGTAACTGTTCCTTGAACACGATTATGGAAGGATGCTATTGGAAATCTAACATGGTATTTGCTAATCACTACCTAAGAGACATCACTACAGAAGATGTCTCTGGCATTCACCATTTCGGACCACTGGTCCTCGCTCAGCAACTGACAGTCCCTCGTGAGGGTTAAAATATTATCCTCACAAGATTAATATGTATTTTATACATACTCATCTAGCTTATAACTCTCACGGAGTTTTAGGGCTATGTATATATGTTCAGCTTAAGTATTCAACCTTAAGCATATACTTTGGTATAGTCAATTTCAGTGCCTCTATCAGAGTCACCTATATATATATATATAATTTATATGTATTGTTCAATATATTCATAATGTAATTCCCCTTTAATGGCTTTATATAACCTATGGTTTCTTTATACAGGAAACATCCTAAATCTAAGACTTCATGAAGTTCCGTAGGGGATATTACAGTATATCTATACAAAATCACTAATTATAAATCCAAAGTATTCTGTTACCCACCTCCGTTCCGTAGGATGCTACAAGCAAAGAGCATGAGTCAGGATAAGGAAAATATGTAATTTTTAGAGTAAAATTGATATTTTATACTTATCCTGACTCATGAGGTTAGCCCTCCCATCCTCCCCACATAACACTTTGGATTTCCCTGTAAATTCAAGTGTTGGGCTCGCTAAATCAGGAGAGAGTGGAGCACATGGCCAGAGGGTGGCGACACCTTTTCCCGCCAGGGGAGACAAAGGGGAGCAACTCGTGGTGAGTACCAATTAGTGATTTTATTTTGAAGGGAGCTTCAAATAAGGAGATACAAGTGTTCCACTATGTTCGCAAGAAGAAGAAGACAAGCAAAAGAGCATGAGTCAGGATAAGTATAAAATATCAATTTTACTCTAAAAATTACATATTTATTGTAGCTGGCGATCACAAGAAACTGGCATGTGTATTTCACCTTATTTCATGCGCGTACAACTTTCGCTTACCATGTTCATGAGGGGCTGTATAACCTTAGTATTGATTACACATATTTTACATTTATTGAGCAAAACCTGTAAGGAAAATTACACAATGCTCGGATATATTTCTCTTGGTAAAATAATAGATTTTTCCTTATCCTGACTCATGATTATTGCTTATCTCCCTTCTCCATCGACGGTCAAATGGAAACCTTGAATCTTATTCAAATTTACTGAAGCATCCGTACAATCACTCACCCTGAGTTACCTCCCTTGTTCCCACCAAAACCGGTCCCACGTGACCCGAAACTAGCTCTTATCACTCTCTCCTTCATCGCCCTCACCGACGGTCAGGCGGTCCTTACGGGTCCTATTTACAGCAGATATCCTTTCATTTCGGCCTCATATTATTAATTTGTGGCCGCAGATTGTATTTAGATCCATATTAGATGCTTCTATGTATATATTATCATGTACATTTCTACTAAATTACGCATTTCACTTCGTTGCAGGTGAGGTGTTGTTCAATGGTGGCATGTCAACAATGCAGATTGAGACTATCTGTGTTTGATCCACATCATATTAGCTCCTCTTGTCGCCTTCATAAGTGTTCTTTTGCATCACGTTGTCAATATTGCATTAATTTATCAACACATTTGTTTACTAAATATTTATCAGCCTGCTTAAGCAGGACTATAGATAAACAGCATCGTGTTAGCGGAAAGGGGTAGCTCTCGAATAACGAATACTAAATGTCACAACACAATATGGAGAATTTCCCAAGGATTTCTCCCATTTCTGTCATGTTTTCAGAAACGGCTACGCAGTCTACCTACAAGATAAAGTCACCTCAGATAGAGGAGACTGAACTACAACGTCTAGCGAGAAAGAAACGATCGTCCAGATTGTCTTCAAGATCTACATCTACAAGATCTACGTCATCTAGATCTACTAGATCATCAGATACACCTATGGCATTGAGAAGGCCATATCTCGACTTGATAGATCACCACCGGTTTTAGAACCGCAGATCATCTTGACTACATCTCCGACTACATCTACCAGTACTCCTAGAGAGTTAGCGAGCTCAGGTTCGCAACAACATTCATCAAAATCGTCATCGTCGAGAAACGTTCGTCCCAGCGTAGATCAACTACTACATCAGGGTTCGCGAACCATTCTACAGAGAAATCGTCACAAACATCGCAGACTAATCAGGGTTCGCGAACCCTTCTACAGACAATCAAAATAGATCGTCACAAACATCGTAGACTACGACATCTTCTAATCATTCAACCTCGTCAAACCAGATAACTGTTGCGCTACAGACAGAAAGAGAATTTTCATCTGATGTAGGCTTCGTGAACCCACAGCCCGATGGAGGGTTCGCGAACCCACAACAACAGAGTTTAACTCATCAACAAAGAGATACAAATCAACCTTTCGCGAACCCTGTCGTGTTCAACAAATCAACCAGTAGATCAAGATTTGTAGCCAGTATTACACTCCAAGTAGTCTTGGCTATGCAACAGCGTTCATCATCAGATAATCAACAGATGATTACACATTCTACATCTGCTAATGACTATAAAGGGGAAAACACTCATCTCAGAAACAAGTTTTCGTGAACCTGAGGGATCTACAATATATCCAGATGCAGAGGTCTTGGATAATAGCGGATGAGTTACCAATTGCTTCACATTCATCCAAATTGTCGTTGTCGAGAAAAAACACACATCCCAATAAAAGATTGGACGAACCAATAACTGTTGGTTTACAAACAGAAATGGTTTTTTTAGTCGAAGATTCAACGAATCGACAACAACAGATATTTACATCTAGTCAAAATCGACAGAGAAATACAACACAACCTTCCTTCAACCCGTCACGTTTGTCGAATCAACAAGTAGATCAAGATTTTGTAGCTAGCATTATACACCAAGTTGTCTTGGTTATGCAACAGCTATTGTCGTCAGAGAATCAACAAGTAGATCAAGATTTTGTAGCTAGCATTATACACCAAGTTGTCTTGGTAATGCAACAGCTATTGTCGTCAGAGAATCAACAAGTAGATCAAGATTTTGTAGCTATCATAATACACCAAGTTGTCTTGGTTATGCAACAGCTATTGTCGTCAGAGAATCAACAAGTAGATCAAGATTTTGTAGCTATCATTATACACCAAGTTGTCTTGGTTATGCAACAGCTATTGTCGTCAGAGAATCAACAAGTAGATCAAGATTTTGTAGCTATCATTATACACCAAGTTGTCTTGGTTATGCAACAGCTATTGTCGTCAGAGAATCAACAAGTAGATCAAGATTTTGTAGCTAGCATTATACACCAAGTTGTCTTGGTTATGCAACAGCTATTGTCGTCAGAGAATCAACAAGTAGATCAAGATTTTGTAGCTATCATTATACACCAAGTTGTCTTGGTTATGCAACAGCTATTGTCGTCAGAGAATCAACAAGTAGATCAAGATTTTGTAGCTATCATTATACACCAAGTTGTCTTGGTTATGCAACAGCTATTGTCGTCAGAGAATCAACAAGTAGATCAAGATTTTGTAGCTAGCATTATACACCAAGTTGTCTTGGTTATGCAACAGCTATTGTCGTCAGAGAATCAACAAGTAGATCAAGATTTTGTAGCTAGCATTATACACCAAGTTGTCTTGGTTATGCAACAGCTATTGTCATCAGAGAATCAACAACCGATCACGCATGCTACATCCTTTAACGTTTCAATCCAGGAGGAAACATCCAGTTGCTTCATAGACATCAAGGACAGCTGGGTTACCAGTTGCTTGATAGACATCAATCACAGCTGGGTTACCAGTTGCTTCATAGACATCAATCACAGCTGGGTTACCAGTTGCTTCATAGACATCAATCACAGCTGGGTTACCAGTTGCTTCATAGACATCAAGGACAGCTGGGTTACCAGTTGCTTCATAGACATCAATCACAGCTGAGTTACCAGTTGCTTCATAGACATCAATCACAGCTGGGTTACCAGATGCTTGATAGACATCAAGGACAACTGGGCTACCAGTTGCTTCATAGACATCAATCACAGCTGGGTTACCAGTTGCTTCATAGACATCAATCACAGCTGGGTTACCATTTGCTTCATAGACATCAATCACAGCTGGGTTACCATTTGCTTCATAGACATCAAGGACAGCTGGCTTACCAGTTGCTTCATAGACATCAATCACAGCTGGGTTGCCATTTGCTTCATAGACATCAAGGACAGCTGGGTTACCAGTTGCTTCATAGACATCAATCACAGCTGGGTTACCATTTGCTTCATAGACATCAAGGGCAGCTGGGTTACCAGTTGCTTCATAGACATCAATCACAGCTGGATTACCATTTGCTTCATAGACATCAAGGGCAGCTGGGTTACCATTTGCTTCATAGACATCAAGGACAGCTGGGTTACCATTTGCTTCATAGACATCAAGGACAGCTGGGTTACCATTTGCTTCATAGACATCAAGGACAGCTGGCTTACCAGTTGCTTCATGGACATCAATCACAGCTGGGTTACCATTTGCTTCATAGACATCAATCACAGCTGGGTTACCAGTTGCTTCATAGACATCAATCACAACTGGGTTACCATTTGCTTCATAGACATCAATCACAACTGGGTTACCATTTGCTTCATAGACATCAATCACAGCTGGGTTACCAGCTGCTTCATAGACATCAAGGACAGCTGGGTTACCATTTGCTTCATAGACATCAAGGACAGCTGGCTTACCAGTTGCTTCATGGACATCAATCACAGCTGGGTTACCATTTGCTTCATAGACATCAATCACAGCTGGGTTACCAGTTGCTTCATAGACATCAAGGACAGCTGGGTTACCATTTGCTTCATAGACATCAATCACAGCTGGGTTACCAGTTGCTTCATAGACATAAAGGACAGCTGGGTTACCAGTTGCTTCATAGACATCAGTCACAGCTGGGTTACCAGTTGCTTCATAGAAATCAAGGACAGCTGGGTTACCATTTGCTTCATAGACATCAAGGACAGCTGGGTTACCAGTTGCTTCATAGAAATCAATCACAGCTGGGTTACCATTTGCTTCATAGACATCAAGGACAGCACGCACCGCCATTTAATGCAAGAAAGTTTCCATTACACAGCGTTTTTATTATCTCATCAATGAATCCAGATCACACAGGTATAATAAATGAAGATCTAATCAGCAACTTCCAGAACCCGACAATAGAAACAGACAGGATGGTATTATCATCACTAAATCACGCAAAAGCGAAGGATCAAGAATTTATGTCTGATTACTTAGCATCGACATCATCAGGGTTACTTTACTTCGTCGACAAAGACTCCTCGCATTGTGTAACTGGACAGAGTATCACGTTGAGACACTTTTACGTCAACCACCTATTAATAATTAGCCAGCGTCACCGCAGTCTACTTGTTCTACTATTATATCTACAGGATTCACGATCCCCACTGCACAGAAACAATCATAAACAGTTTCGATGTTGAGAAGGAAATATCCATCTCAACGCAGACTCGTCCACACCATCAGGGGTTGCAAACCCTTCAGTCAGCAATCAAAAGGGATACGTAAGCCAGTCAGACAGCAGTTATGTTACTTTGTCAGGAACTCTTGTACGCAGACGACTGCTAATCAACGTCATCAGCGAAGTATCACGGCTCTATTACAGGCTTGAGTAAACTCTCGGGGTAAAATTACCCTACCGTTGGACCACAATTTTGTGTCGAAAGCCACACAACAAGTGGGTTTTTATATGCTACATCAACGTTAATGGGGATACAACAGCCGATAACCATTTGATTCCTACGGAATCTATCAATGACTCCCTCAATGAGGAAGCACCGGCTTCAGATACTAGTATCCATAAATGAGAGAATTCAACTATCTACATGGATTTGGAAGTCTTATCTGGGATAATCCCACTGATAAGCCGCGACCGTAGATCCGTCTAACTTCAAGTCAGCGTTTACAAACTCTATTAGACACCAAGTTGACAAACACCAACGAGTAGTATAGGGAATAGCGAGAAAAAGACGTATAGGTACACCTAAGTCTATAAGCCCCAAACTATCCAATTCGGCTCCCAGAGTCACCCAAAAAATAGTGTTTCGTATTTTACGTTTTGGACCTCTTTTTGTTTGCATTGTTTTTCTTTGTGGTTCCTAGTAGTCTAGCCAACCCAAGACAGGGTTTTCGGGAGAAAATCACCAGTATGTCGATGCAAGTGCACTCGAATTAGAGATACATTATGTACATAGGTAGAGAACACAACAAAATGCCCAGAACCAAGCTATCGCGCGAAGCCTATGCCGAGATCCGATCGGGTTGTTTGTCCTTTCTAGAAGCGAAGAGGAAGTACCACATATCGCAAGCCCGATACACGCGAATCCTGGGTGGTATAGACCCCGAGCCACAGACGACGACAACTCCCGACATAGCCGAAGTCTTCGAGAGCCTGCTGGAGAAGTGTCCCCACGTATTGCTTTCCGACCAAGAGAAACAAATCCTGGAGAAATCGGGGCACACCTTCTACGAGCGGTACCAGATACCTCGCCAGTTTCTGGAATTGTATTTGCTGTACTTTCGCCCTTTCGTCGAAGATGGCAAAATAGTGGATTTTGTCTACCTCTACCCACCCAAGAAATCGCATTCGATAGCTGTATCTCGAATATAGAGAACCTGTACGACAACGCCTGCGCTTTCTGGAGCATACAGTACGCACTCCTCCTTGGCAAATTGGTGGACTATTGTCCGTGCAAGAAGAAAGATTCTTGTCTCTTCCAGCAGCTATCGGGGAAAGCAGAGGTACCACAGGGACGGAGCAATATTTGGCATACCCCTTTGCCAAACTACGGCGGGCCCAAGGATATGGAAGTGGCAGCCCCTCCAATCAGCGAACACCGAAAAGTCGCAGATGTCGCGGAAGGAATCTAGACATGCAAAAAGTTTGCCGTAGCAAAATACGAAGGGAAGAACGGACTGTTGCTGCTTCTAGATTCGCCAACTGGAGAAAAAACGATGCCAGTCTACGGCTACAATATACAAGAAACGATTCGAGACGCCGGCGGAATAGAACACCTATGGTTGGTGGGGGAACCGTTTCTGTGCAGGCTCGGCAAAATCTGCCGCTCGCCCATATCGAAGAAGAAAGATGATAGAGAAGTCGAGTTGCTGCTCCCAGACCTTCTGCGGGAATAGTTTTCTGGGCAGCTGGACGTTATGATGATTGGTTTTGCTATTTGTTTCCATCTTTCATTAGAAAAACAATTGAAATGACCCTTACCTACTTGTTTCAATATTGTTTTACATGTGCACAGTTGTTTTGTAAAATGTTCTATAACCATGGTGTTGTCTGTCTGTATTCTGGTTACACAAGATATGCTCAACTCGGAAGACTTGGTGGCAGTCCACATGGTAACTTAAGCCACAAGCCCAGATCTTGTAAGCTGCAAGATATTATGAAATGGGAATAAATTGAGAATATAAATATATGGCCATAAAAAATGAGAGCAATACATAATTGAATATGAATAAACACACTTTACCAAAGTTTTATAACATGTGCTAATGTTGAGACTTCGACGCTTAAAATTATTTTCAATTCACATTTTCATGAAACCAAAAGAGTATCCTTGGTGTAATTCTTTATCAAAACACAACAAAATTTACATTGGTTATGAAATTACATTAAAGAAGAATTCATGAGTTACTGACAGTTCAAAAGTAATATTTAGATGTCATCATATTCAGGGCACACATTGACATATATCAGTTTTTGCATAAATTGCATGCCATTTAGAAAGTATGCATAATGTTCTGAACAATTTATTGGTTTATATATTTAATTATGTCTTGAAATGATACTTTTGAAAATTGCAGAAAAACGCCTTGTACTATCATCACACACCTCTGTGGGTAGACACACCTGTTCAAATGTTGATTATGCCACAGCCTGGAATATCTCTGTAGGTATTTACTATTTAGCTATACTTCTACCTTCCTTGTATCATTTAGCACAGGGGGAAACCATTTGGCGGGTGGAATTTTCATTTATATGTGGACTAAATATTATATAATATTATGACAGATTTTCCCAGGTGACACATCCTCCCATACCCCAAAATGACACATTTCCTTGAGGTGACCATGTTGTTTCATGGGTTCAGCTGGTGATTTAGAATTTTCCCAATTTGACATGATGTGGTTTTCATTAACCCACCATGGACAAACCATGTAGCTTTCAAGTGTAGCTGATCAGTTTTCTTTATCCTGGTGGATTATGCAACAGAGGTTTTATTTGTATCTGAACAGTAGACAAGGGGGAGGTAATTTAGAACATTTGGTGGAAGAGTAATCTCCCTTTGGTGTGCTTTTTGTCTGATACAGCATTATGAATCACCTGTGCCTTGCTGCCTGTAAGGACAGGGAAACTGAGTGACAGCATGTGTGATCACTGCAGGGAAACCATTTTTATAAAGATAATTAAAACTTTCATGATCATGAATATGTTTGTTGAAGAAAGTGTTCCAAGATGCCATATGGTGCAGAGAACAGCTACCTTGGTAGACTAGGTAGCACTACAATGCCACTCAAGTCAGTCAGGGTGTTTCTATGTTAGTACTTCAAAGGCTTGTTGGTAAGAGGATCCTTTGCACAGGAATTGCTTGATCTGTATGTTAGCATGCTGTGAGGATAATGACCCTCCAACAGGTTCAGTGTTCCCGTGGTTGTCCAGCTGTGTTCTGAGGGTGTCTCAGGACCTAGAAGTGTGATCCCAGGGTAATAGTTGTACCGACAGCCAGTAAGATAGAGATGCTGTTTAATTAGGGTGTCTCAGGACCTAGAAGTGTGATCCCAGGGTAATAGTTGTACCGACAGCCAGTAAGATAGAGATGCTGTTTAATTAGGGTGTCTCAGGACCTAGAAGTGTGATCCCAGGGTAATAGTTGTACCGACAGCCAGTAAGATAGAGATGCTGTTTAATTAGGGTGTCTCAGGACCTAGAAGTGTGATCCCATGGTAATAGTTGTACCGACAGCCAGTAAGATAGAGATGCTGTTTAATTAGGGTGTCTCAGGACCTAGAAGTGTGATCCCAGGGTAATAGTTGTACCGACAGCCAGTAAGATAGAGATGCTGTTTAATTGCTGTTTTATTTATCTCAGGACCTAGGGTGTCTCAGGACCTAGAAGTGTGATCCCAGGGTAATAGTTGTACCGACAGCCAGTAAGATAGAGATGCTGTTTAATTAGGGTGTCTCAGGACCTAGAAGTGTGATCCCATGGTAATAGTTGTACCAACAGCCAGTAAGATAGAGATGCTGTTTAATTAGGGTGTCTCAGGACCTAGAAGTGTGATCCCAGGGTAATAGTTGTACCGACAGCCAGTAAGATAGAGATGCTGTTTACGATCCGGGATGCCATTGTTTGAAACCAAATTTAGTGACCTAGTTAAGAGAGTCTTACGTGGACTCTCTGAACATTGATTTTATTTCAGCACTTTTGTCAGTGTGGCTCAAGACTGTATTATCAGGTTAAATAATCACCTCTGTAAAGATTACTCTGACTGAAAGGGAGATAATCCAGTTCATGCATCAATCTGGTGGTAATGTAACAGGCAAGTGGAAGTAGGAAATGTGGAGATAACATGGCTCTCGCTTGAGCTGTAGGGAATACTGAACTCATATTGCAGGAACGACTTATGTTTCACAGATGTCAGAGTTCTTGTTGCTCAAACACCAACTGACCAAGCGGAACCATCTTGGAATCATTTTGCAGTGTTCCAGATTTAGTTTATAAGTCAGGGGTCTTTGTCATAGCCTGAATATCAAGAGTAAACAGTCAGATTCACACCCGCTGACTCAAATACTACAGGAACAAATCTGAAGGCTCGTAGTCACTTCCTTCATTCCCAGCACTGCTTTTGGGTCTATATTTAAAAAAGATGAGGCACTTACTGTTTTGGCATGGCATGACATGACATCACATCACATCACATCACATCATGGTTTGACAGTCATCTGCATAGGGAACAACTTGATCCTACTCCTGTGTTTCTCCATACACGGTTCGAGCATACGTCATCTGCATTGAG